ACTCTCTGGATTTGGGTAGAGAACATGATGAATTTTTCTGGAGATTCTTTGTCAGTTTTTTGAGTGTGTGTTTCCCTACTCATCAGGCTTAGTGTATGGAAGAAGCTAAAAATCCCTTTAATCCTTTAAAAGCTATAGGTTGACTGCCTCACTTACAAGAATGAAGAAGTCTTATCGGTGGAGAGAGATGGCACATGGAAGCAGGAATAACAGTAGAAGAATCCAAAAATGTGGATTCCGGTCTCAGTTTAGATTCGTTTAGTTTCGTGGTTAGGACAAGCAACTTTATCTCAGGGGTCACAGTTATTTTATATGTCTATCATTCTATGTTCTGGAGTACATTTTTCTCGGAGTAAATCGGTATCCCAATAATGCAATCTAGTTCTCTGGCTCCAGTCTGTACCTTCAGTTCAGGACAGTAAGTCCCCAAACTCCTTCTAGATGTCTCCCAGAGTTGGCTCATGTGCTCCTGAATCTACTGATTTTAATTCTCTGTGATTTCTTTTTTTTTTTTCTCCCTATTTTAGACTCTCTTTAGTATGTAGCTGCAGGCATCAAAATGGAACTTAAATATCTTCCCTTGACTCCAAAGCTGTAGTTCAGGGTCCCATTGGACACCGTGTGATATCTTTGGTGACCCCAGGGGACCAAAGTGGGTAGAGCTCCCAACCTCCGGCATTTGTTATCCTCTCATCTGGTGGGATGTGGCCTTGAGCTCCCTCTGCTCCTAGAGAGATCAATAATGTTACACTTTGACATTTTGTTTCCTATAGCCTCTCAACTGCCAGGAGCACTGCTTCAGGTCCTGCTAGGTGAAGAGAGAGAGGAAGACAAAGAGAGAGGAGGAGATTATAAACATGTAGTCATGAAGCAACGTGAAGCAACATGAGTCAGACTTTCCAAGTAAACCTTTTTTGGTGGCCACCCACTTTTCTTGGACTTCCGGTGTGCCTCAAAGGGTTAGGAGAGTCATCATCCAGAGATATGACTGGGTAACTTACCCAGAAATCATCCAGTGTAAACTTTTCTATAAACTCAAAGTGTTCCAGGAACAAGCCCATCTTTGCTGCATTGGGCTTAAAGAGTCTGGGCAATGTACCTTAAAATCATTCCTCTAGACATTCAGTTCTTTGGATTTTGTGTATTTTCCAGTCCTCTCTAAAAGTGCTAGGAAGCCCAGGCTTCATCTGAATGGAATCTTATTTGTTAGCTGGCTAAGAAAAAGCTCATGTAGAAATGGATCATAGTTTGGAGCCTTAGAAAGAGGAAAAAGGAGGAGCGCCTAGGTGGCTCAGTGGGTTAAGCCTCTGCCTTTGGCTCAGGTCATGATTCCAGAGTCCTGGGATAGAGTCCCACATCGGGCTCTCTGCTCAGCGGGGAGCCTGCTTCCTCCTCTCTCTCTCTGCCTGCCTCTCTGCCTACTTGTGAGCTCTGTCTGTCAAATAAATAAAACCTTAAAAAAAAAAAAGAAGAAAGAGGAAAAAAGAGAGAGTATGAGTGATGTCATTTTTTGATTCATCTCATCATGCAATTTGCTTATTCACCTTCCTTCATTATTGTAAAAGCATTCATTGAGGAGAGTAAAGGGTTGAATTGTATTCCCCCCAAAAGATATGTTGCAGTCCCAGTCTCTAGCACCCCAGAATGTGGCCCTATTTGGAAATAGTGTCATTGCAGTTGTAATTTGTGAAGATGAGCTCATCCTGGAGTAGGATGGGCCCTGTGCTCTTATAAAAAGATGGGCGTGTGAAAACACACTGACACAGGGAGAATACCAGGTCAAGATGGAGGATTAGCATGATGCATCTACAAAACAAGGAATAGCAAAGATTGCTGAAATACCACCGGAACCTAGGAAGAGGCAAGGAAGACCTCCCTTATTGGTTTCAGGAGGAGTATTATTCTGCGACACCTGGATGGCAGACTGCTAGTCTCCAGAATTCTGAGACAATGGATTTATGCTGTCTTAAGGCATCCAGTTTGTTGTATTTTGTTATCATAGCCCTAAGAAACTAAGACGAGGGCCCATGTGCCAAATCTCATCCTCGTGGCTTTGGATCATAGTCAGATAAGATGTGGTCCCATCCTCAGGGAAATACCAGATAGAATTTTAAAAAAAGAGACAGAGAAAGAGATTGGTTAAGAGGTTTGTATTGCTAGGAAAAGGGCTTTAACAACATTACATATAGAGTATATATGATATATATATATATATTATATGTATACTCTGAAATAAACAAAAGACTTGGGCTGGGAAAAGTGGGGCTCTGATGGGATGATGAGGTAAGAGGGCCTCTGTCTTCTTCCTTTAGAAGTCCTGATATGACAACTTCTGAGACTGAAAAGATGGTTTGTGTTTATAGCAAGAAGGAAGCAGGGATCACCAGAGGTCAGGATGTTTTCCAAGAATAGTACCTGTCAGGGTCGATTCATTACTTTGACAGGGAAGTCAGACTAGTAGATGACAAAAGGTAGCAGACAAAGGTTGGCAAGAATTCGTAGACATACCTGGTAGTTTTCCTTATGGCGCCCTTACGGACAATGGTCAAGTGAGTTGAGTGAAGAGCTACGTATGGGTGGATGATTAATTAATGGAGATGTGCTCATCTGAGCTGAGGTTTCCAGTGGAATGCCAAGGAACTCTTACGTAAGTGCTGCCAACATTTTTATCAGTAGTTGGAAAAGCCAAGCATTACCCATTTTGTCTTTGATGAGCCAGACTGACTCTGTCTATGCCTAGATGTATGTGCTTGGTTCTGGACGGAGCCACATACTTAAGGAGGACAGAGGGAGGTCAGAAGACGTTTTGAAGAGAGTGACCGGGTGGTAACCTAAAGGAGAATAGTAGTCACATAACAGAAAAAAAAACCAAGTCAAATATCTGGAATATTCCAGCCAACCAACAGAGGACCCAAGAAAGACATGGCAGTCAAGAGATAGTATGTTTCACTTGGTTTGAAGGGTTGTGATCAATGGATCAATTAGGAAGACAATCTCAGCTTGATAGAAGAAGAGGAACTTTCAAGATGTTAGAGTAAAAAAACATGCTGACCATGAAATTTGAAAGAAAGCAAATCTTTGTGGATTAACCTACAAATTTAGTAAAAATTCTGGCAGAATTCTTTTTTTAGGAATCTAATAACTTATTCTAAATATATAGAAGAATAGAGGCCTATAGGTAGCTGAATTGGTTTTGAAAGCGAAGAACAAAAATGTTATTCTTAGCCAAAGACTGGGAAGATACACCACACAGCCATGATAATAAAACAGTGTGGGCCTGGTGCCACCACAGGAAGTCAACCCATGCAACAGAAGAAAGAACTCAGTGACAGACTCATGCTTTTAGGGGAACCTGGCATGTGAAGGACACACAACTCAGTGATGAACAAATGGACCACTCAGAGGTTATTGTGGAAACTGGAGGACTACATGGGAAAATAGAGTTGGAGGATTTACACAGTGTAAGAGCGGATGTAGAACTAAATATGAAAGAAACTCTGAAGCAAACAGAAAAAATACAGAAATCCATTTTTATGATTTGGGGGCAGGAGGGACTGAAATGAAACTGCCAGAACACAAAGCATAAGGGGGAAATAGTCAATTATATATTTCAAAATGAAAGATTTTGAGTGATAACATATACAAAATTATGAGATTAAATACTGACAGATTGGAAAGTTATTTGCAACACGAACACCATAAGAAGTTGAAGCCTCACTATACAAAATACCACAAGTAAATATCTAGGTTATACAGACAAATTCACAAGTGAAAATAAGCCTCGTTAGAAAATGGTCCTATTAAAACGGACCGTGGAGTCCTTGGTTTCCTCATTCTCTCTTTCAATAGGTATTTATTGAGTAGGAACACACAATATTGAGTGGGGACAGGGCTGTTCTCAGCCCTGGGGAATGATACAGCAGACAAAATTCCTAGCCCTTATGACATTTAAATACACCACAATATTCTCTTCCATCAATAGGAAAAAGGCATTGGTTTCGACTCAGGGAATTCTCCCCTTAAATGCCAATGTTATCACTTTAAAGTTGAAGGAATTTTTAGGGTGCATCTCTCTTAAATCCATATTTTTTCCTGATGATAAACAATGTCCAAGGACCCACAGATTGGACGGGTATGGAGACCTGACACTTCGCCTATGTTTGGACTGTAAACCTAATGGTTAGATGGACCCAGAATGCCAGTGACTCACAGCTCTTCCTCTACTACCTGTTAGCATCTGGCAACTTCTCTGAGCTTCAGTTTCTTTACCAGTAAAAATGGAAATAATGGTTAGACCTGCTATAAATTGGTCTAAGATGTGTGCCTGGGTGGCTTGGTAGGATAAGCATTTGCCTTTGGCTCAGGACCGAGCCCCACGTTGGGCTCCTCACTCAGCGGGGAGTCTGCTTCTCCCTCTCCCTCTGCTTGCTGCTCCCCCTGCTTGTGCTCTCTCTCTCTCAAAGAAATAAATAAAAATGTCTTTAGAAAAAGTAAAATAAAATGGGTCTAAGGATTCAATGAGATCATATAAAAGAATAGCCTCAGGCACATGACAAAAACTTAATGTTGGCAATTTTTACCTCTGATTCTGATATTACAATCCCAAGAATTGTCATTTCCCCTGCACACCGTATTTCAAAATTCGTACGGTAACATCTTTGGGTTCTTAGGTCATTCATTTTTCTTTTCAATAATAATGAGAAAAGGAAATCCTGTGCTTTCCTGGATACTATACACTGGTGATGTGTGAGGCGTGTCTCATGGATTAACCATTAATCCCAGTGTGTGAGACCTGCTCAGGGCTGCAGAGTTGGAAGGGATATGAGAGACCGACTCACCAGGCCCAGCCCTATTCCACACAGGATTCAAAGGCCTCGGGGAGGTGGAGCCCTGCCCTGTATTTCCACATCTGGAACCATGACACTACTTATGTGGTTATGATTAGTTGATTGTGGTTAGAAAAGATTATCCTGCTTAGGAAATCAAGGTTAGGAAGGATTCTAGTCGTCCAGCTGACTTTGTAAAATGGAAGTGAGCTGGTGACATGAATAAGCTCCCTTAATTAGAGATCTAGACTCAAAAGGACTCGTGGTTATTCCAGGTATGAAGAATTTGCAAGACTTCAGCCTGAGTGTGTTTCAGTGCGGTGGGTGGAGCCAGCCTTCCTCATTAGAATAAGGTAAACAGATTCAGCCCAGTTATAAATGGAAAAAAGATGTGCCCTTGGTCACTGAGGGCTGCAGAGAGTGGTGTCTGGCTGGAGAGCTTGGGGCAGTGGAGAGAAGGGGCCAGAGCATGAGTTCCAAGTCAAAATTCGTAGGGGTCATTGGAGTGCCTTTCTCAAAGGGCCAGGTGAGTACCAAATGTGTCCTTCAATAACTGAAATTCATGACAAAGTCTCAGACTTCAGAATCCGTAAGGTAAGGTTTTAATGTTAATGTCTGCTAAGCTCTGTTCCCTTGGACAACTGGGCCTGACATTTATATATATATATATTTTTTAAAGTCCTTTTACCATTTTGCAATGTTGGAGAATTATGGTCACAAACTCACTTATTCTTGTGGCTCCTAATCTCAGCTGCAGCCGGTTGTATTTGAATCTACTACATTTTTCTTTGTATTCTTTGAGAGAACATATTTTTATTTGAATGGAAATGGACTGTGTCTGTATTATAGCTACTCATTGAAATTCCCATGTTCTCGTTGCTTTGCGTTTCATAGTGCCTATGCAGAAGCGAGAGGATTTTAAGAAAATGCATTGGTTTAGTCATGTGTTAATACCTAAAAACATCTCGTGGATTGGCAACAATTTTCAGACTTCTAGTCTGCATAACCTAAATGTTATTGCTTTATGCAACTTGGTGAATGATTCATGTTATTTGAGGGCTTTCACAATCCTGTGAAAGTGTTAGTTCATGCACTAGGTAGAAACCTTTATGTATTTCTTTTTGAGAGAGGAAAAAAAAAAGGAAAGAAAAGAAAATCCAACTGGAAGTTGGCAACATTGAAGGGACTAATGCATTTATGAAATTACCAGATTGCCAACACATTCCAGCAGCCTTGAACTTTGCAGCCTTTTCTTCTGGTGAGTGCACTCATTCTGGCAAACATAGTGTGATTAGAGACCTCAGCCTTCAGCAGGCATCTGTGCTTAAAGGGGGAAAACAAGGAACAAAAACAAAAGCAAATGAAACTCTGAGAGTTGATATTTTGTCATCATGGTTGTTTCAAACGGGGTCGTCTCTGTCTTCCAGCATTCTCTTTGCCCGTCTGGGCAGTGGTTCACTCCTTTAGTTTTGAGCTCGTTCTTGGCACTCCGGTGTGTTATTGCAAAATAGGTTGGGAGAGGTCAGAGGGTAGAGACCCAAACTGCATTTGGACTGTCAGTAAACACTGCTGCACCTCTCCTAGTCATCCTTCAAAGCTCTCTTCTGGAACACAGAGACATTTTGCCCACATGGAAGTGTCTAGTGCTCAGATTAATCATAAAAACCACAATATACTCACCTCTTCTTGCAACAGAAGGCAGAGTGAAAATAACTGACTGAAAGGAAGGAAAGGAGGAAGGAAAATAAAAATTTAAGAAGGAAGAAAGGGAGGCAGAAGGGAGGAAGTGGGGGAGGGAGGGAGGCAGGAAGGCAAGCAGCAGCCTGAATATACCCTGGCTCTTGGTCCTCACCAGAAGATTTTATGCTACGATAATAATGGCCCTTTGAAAGGATAGTATTTTGAAACACAGCCTGACACTATTTTCTATTCTTAGTATTTCTTTTCCTCTACAGCTCTTCCCCTATTAAAACTTGACCCCGTGAGAAAGAAGCTTATTGTTTCCTGACAGGAAGGGCTCAGAGAGAGGTGTTTCTACACTAAGCCGTAGCATGGGAGGAAAATGGCGGCCAACGTGTTAGCATCTCTCCACACCTAAAGGAGGTAGAGGTTTACAAATAGGCAAAGGAGAGGATTAAGGGCATATGGCTTAGAAGGTTGAGTCTGAGAAAAGATTCCACTCCCTTGCAAGGCAGTGAGTGATGGGGGAGAGTTGATGGCCGGAAATGAGAGAAGTAGGATATTTATCGTACCGTTCACTAAGACTCAGAGAAGATTAGCAATTGGCTAAGTTAACTCGTCTCGACTGTGTGATTCCAGACAGGATTCCGTGATCCTGAAGCCTATGCCCCTGACTTGTGTCAATGCCTGTCGAGCTGCCGCAGATTTGATGCTTATGGCCAGTTAGGGCTGGGGGCCCAGCTTTGAAGTCAGTAGAGCTAACAAAGCGATTTCCAAAGTGGGCAGATTAACCAAGCAACGAGAAAAGACTCATCATGAGCAGCAGTTTGAATCAAACAAATACAAAAGAATGATGGGAAGTATCACTCAGGGAAATCTAACCACTGTGTTGGTGCAAATAGAGTGTCAGAGGAAGGGTCTGTAAAACTTGTTCCAAAGCTTGAAAGGAAGAGGGAACCGGCCAGGGGGTCTTCTCAAGGTGACCAGCTTTTGAGCATCTGACAAGCACTATGACGCGTAGTCCCCTTGGGCTGAAGTCTAATCACCGAGGAAAGACAAAGTAGATGAACACAAAGCCAATGGCAAAGTTTGCGCCAAGTGGCACTCTACTGAGGTTTAAAGAAGAGGCAATTACATCTGCTTCAGGAAGGAGGAGTCTGGGGGTGGTCACACAAGAAGGCATGCATGGGGCAGAGGGGTGGCGGAAACTTGCCGCCTGGAGCAGGAATGGGACACCCAGGGTGTGCTTGGCCACCGAGGCAAGTCAGCTGTCATCGGAATTAGATAGATATAGCTGCTTTGTTTGGGGCCACGGTCCCAATCCTAGGGACAGACACACGTGTCTTTTGGCACGTCTTCTGTTGGGTAACCCAAAATAACTTCCTGTGTCTACAAGCCTTGCTGGAAGTCAGAATCTGAGAGCTACAGAAGAGAACTCTCTGTTTAGGCTTCTACTCTGCCAGGAAGCTAGAGAGGATGTGGGGCAAGGAGGAAGTGTGTTTGCTTCTCTGACCCGTGAAAACAGCAAGGGGAGAATTCTTGTCAGTCATGCCGAAGCAGGTCAGAACCTGAAATACCGGGTTGGTCTTTGTGGATTCAGCTCCCAGGTGATGAATTTCTGTGCCTCTTTTCTCCCCAGGAGCTCTCTGACTTATGGCCGTGTGGACACTCACGTAGGGCTCTCTAATGTGAGGCTCAGTTGTTTTCTTAGGTTTTTACCCAAGTTTTTCTCTGGGTTTGCAAAGTATCTCCACCACGCCATCCCTGTTCCTGAAAACTTACTCATGTAGCAAGACTCAGCTGAAATGTCATCTACTCCCTGCAGCCTCTCCTGGCACCCTCTGTCCCTGCCCGGCAGGGTTTGGAGGGTCCTGTTTCTGTGGTTGCCACCTCTTGCACCGGCCCTGAAGCACATCTCCAGGGACTGTAATTGGGGTTAAATATACAAATTCCCCATTAGCTCATGAGTTACTCAACAACAAGAGGCCTCTCTTTTTAGTTGATTGCCTCTCTGTCTCTCAGAGTGCTTTTGCATAAGATACGTGTTCACCATGTTGATAGCGTGGCGTCTGTCATGGGAAGAGGAGACGCAGGTTCTGGAATCCAAGGATATGAGCGGAGGCTCTGCCATTTGTTAGCTGCGTGCCTATAGGAAAGTGAGACGGCCTTTCCCATTCGAGATCCTCATAGCTGACCCAGGACTTGTTCAATCTGCCTGACTTGACCATGAGGTAAACTCCTGGCTCTGGAGGAACTCTGAAAATGATAGTTACTCTTCACCTGATTAAAGAATGAAAAGTCTGTTGTGGGCATCTGATCATGTCTGAATTATTTTGTTTTTTTAATCGTTCAGCCACGAGGAGGGGTGGAAGAAGGCCCCACAGCGCTGAGAAAGGCTGGCCTGCTGGAGAAACTGAAAGAACAAGGTAATTTTTCCACTGGAAGATGACCAGCCTGCTTTCCTTCCCACGCTGGGGAAAGCAAGCAGGCTTCTGCTAAAAGAGGAGGTGTATGTGGACTGACATTTCTCACACAGAATGGCAACACTCGTGGTAACTTGAGAGGTACAGCCTATTTAAAAAAAAAAAAAAAAGCAGTGTATGGAGAAAATGCTCCATAAGTATTGTTGGATGAATGTTCTCACTCAGGTATTTTGTCTTTCCAGCCAGGAGACATAAAAGATTATAAAAGTATAAAAGAATGTGTGAGCTAGAACTGCAGTTGGGTGAGGGGTGGGGCGTCAGGGGAATTGCAAATGGAGAGTAACAAGCAGCAGAAAGTACCCTGCTAGCAAGAGGACTCCTGTTTGTCAAAGGAAATAAAACAGTGATGGTGATGAGGAGGAGGAGGAAGAGGTATGTGTGTATGTGCATTTGCATACATGATACATATACAGAATGTGAGCTTGCAGATAAAAAATCATATGGAGGGGTGCCTGGGTGGCTCCATGGGTTAAGCCTCTGTTTTCAGCTCAAGTTATGATCCCAGAGTCCTGGGATCAAGCCCCACATCGGGCTTCCTGCCCAGCGGGGAGCCTATTTCTCCCTCTCCCACTCTTCCTCCTTGTGTTCCCTCTCTCGCTGTGTCTCTCTCTGTCAAATACATAAATAAAATCTTAAAAAAAATCATATGGAGTTTAAAAGTATAGGCTAAAGCAAATATCGTCTTTATATATAAAATCCTGATGAAGTGTTGGCAAGAACACAAAGCCACTGGAACTATCATGTTTCTGGGGGAAAAGCTTAATGATTCACTTTGGAAATCAGTTTGGCAGTTTCTTTCTTTCTTTCTTTCTTTTTTAAGATTTTATTTATTTATTTGACAGAGATCACAAGTAGGCAGAGAGGCAGGCAGAGAGAGGAACAGAAGCAGGCTCCCTGCTGAGCAGAGAGCCCGATGCGGGGCTCGATCCCAGGACCCTGGGACCATGACCTGAGCCGAGGGCAGAGGCTTCAACCCACTGAGCCACCCAGGCACCCCAGTTTGGCAGTTTCTTGAATAAACATCCAACTGCCTTCTGGCCCATCAGATCTACTCCTAGGTATTTCCCCAGGAGAAGTGAAAACACATCTACACCAAGACTTGTACCTGAATGCTTCTAGCAGCATTATTTATAATAGCCAAAAGAACGGAAACCACAAAATATCCACCGACTGGTGAAGGGATAAATGATGGGAGGTACACCCATACTGTGGGCTAGGACTCAACCATAAAAAGGAAGGGGTCATGGACACGGGCAAGAACAGGGATGAACGTCAAAGACAACATGCTAAGTGAAAGAGAGCAGACAAAAAAGACTACCTACAGTATGACTGCTTTTATGTGAAATTCTAGAAGCGGCGAAAGTCTAACAACGGAAAGCTCATCAGCGGTTGCCTTGGGGTGGGCACAGGGAATGAAGAGGGGCATGAGGGAATTTGAAGGGGGTAAAGGAAGTGTTCTAAATCTTGATTATGGTGGTGGTTTCAAAACTGTAAATGTTCCTAAAACTCATTGAACTGCAGTTAAAATGAGTGAATTTTAGTAAATAAGAATTATATGTCATGAAGCTGAAAAAAGGAGGGGGATAGAGAAGAGAAGGGATGTGTAAATGGACTGGACTAGTCTCTCAGTTAACAAGCATCATCTGGTCAGATTTTACATCGGGTTCAATCTCTTAAGGGTGTTACTGAATCCTGGATATGCACAAACATATAGTAAATACATCTGATGATGAGGTTAATTCAGAACACTGAACTGATCTCATGTCACAGTTCTACTGGAAACTCTGTGCTTTGAAGCCTAATGCAAGGCCTTCTTAGGAGGTGCACCCAGGTCCTTAGGAACCTTGGGTTACCTACAATTTCTCCTTATTAAAAAGGTATACTAATTAAGCCTTTATTTCTTGAGCTCAGTGAACTGTTAAGCTCGTTGCTAATCATATGCTTACTGAATTCTGACAATACCACTCTGAGGCAGGTACAATCCATAGAGGAGGGACCCGAACTGCTTCAGCAGGTAGCAGATTGGATTGAAACCAAGGACTGTCAATTATAGTCAGAAAATTTAGAAAATAGTGCTATAACAGGTGTATTTCCTTCTGGGCATCTATATAATACACAATGCATAGTACATAATATGTAATAGATAATATATATATATATTCTTTTAAAAAACTATTTATTACAAATACAAAACATGCTTATTGGAGAAAGATAGAAAGCACATAAGCAGAGAGGGCCACATGGAGATAAAGACAACGAGACCGCTCATTAAGCCCAAACCGGAAGATTATCATGGCCCTACTCTGGTGTCCAGCCTCAATGGATTGATCGCAGAAGTATTTGCTGAGAACATGGTGTACAGATGAGATGACGATATCAGGCAAAAGCAGACACGGTCCTTTGCAAATTTTATGGTCCTTCTCGATGTTTTCTCTGCTTATCCTTATAAAAAGTACACTGTTTTGTAAATTTGGAATCATCTTACACAGATTGTTTTGTAATCTTTTTTTATGTAGTAACGCTAAGCTTTTGGTTTTAACTACAGAGTGTGATGTGAAAGATTACGGGGACGTGCCCTTTTCTGATGTCCCTAGTGATCCTCCCTTTCAAATTGTGAAGAATCCGAGGTCTGTGGGAAAAGCGAATGAGCAGCTGGCTGGCGTGGTGGCGGACGTCAAGAAGAGTGGAAGGACTAGCCTGGTGCTGGGTGGAGACCACAGGTCTTGTTTCATGATCCTCTCTCTGTAGTCTGGCACAAATGGCGTAAGGGAGTATAACCAAAACCCTGAGAGAAGAGAAAATGAAAGGGAAAGCACTGATCCATACTTGATACCGAAATTCCTTTTTTTTTTTTAATTGTTTTAGTTACTATTTTCTTTTTTTTCCCATTTAAAAAAATATTTTTTTTCAGTGCTCCAAGATTCATTGTTTATGCACCACACCCAGTGCTCCATGCAATATGTTCAATTACTATTTTCTTTTGGAAATAGCTCTATTTGAAGTCTTGCATTATCTTTTTATTTATTTATTTATTTATTTTTAAAAGATTTTATTTATTTATTTGAGAGAGATCACAAGTAGATGGAGATGCAGGCAGAGAGAGAGAGAGGGGGGGGGAAGCAGGCTCCCTGCTGAGCAGAGAACCCGATGCGGGACTCGATCCCAGGACCCTGAGATCATGACCTGAGCCGGAGGCAGTGGCTTAACCCACTGAGCCACCCAGGTGCCCCTGCATTATCTTTATTACAGCAGAAAGTATATGACATGAGCGGATTTCAGTAAAATACTCAGCACAAATTTACATTCCTAAATGAATAAGCGTGAGGAAGTTCTTAGCCAGGTTATTGTACTTGATTCCTGATAGCAGGAACAACTCATTTAAGTCAGTATTTTAAAGTATGTTTCCCGTTATAAAAGTAATCATTTCAAACTTTTTGAAATACACACACACACACACACACACACACACAAAATAGTAGTAATTATATTTCCTAACAAGCATTTCAAGTGAAATTGCAAATCGAGCATATTTCCTTTGCCATACTGTTTCCCTTGTACCCCTCTGTTTAACATCCCTGTTATCTGATACTTTGTTTGTTTGTTTTTTTAAGATTTTAGTTATTTATTTGACAGAGATCACAAGTAGGCAGAGAGGCAGGCAGAGAGAGAGAGGGGGAAGCAGGCTCCCTGCTGAGCAGAGAGCCCGATGCGGGGCTCCATCCCAGAACCCTGAGATCATGACTTGAGCCAAAGGCAGTGGCTTAACCCACCGAGCAACCCAGGCACCTCCCGATAACTTTGTTCTTAACCTAAAGTACAGATTTCCTTATAATGTGTATAAGCATAATTTTTATTGTTGCATACATCAGGGTATTAAATCACTATACATATCCATATTGTCAGGTATTCAGGTAATTTTCAAATTTTCCTGATTATAAATAATGCGGCAAAGACCCTTTCTGTGTGTGAGCCTTTTTGATGTCTACTCTCGAGGTCCCCGAGTACCTCACCAGAGGGCTGACCAGATCACAAAGTACAAACGTGACAATGGCTCTTGATGCCCGAGTCAATCACTTCAGCTCCCTGTTTTCCTCCAAAGCCAAACCATTTCCAGGGCTCCTTTGTGACAAAACTGTAATTGAGAAACTGGGGCTGACTTTCTTTCTTAAATGGAAAAATTTGTACGTGGAAATGTTAAGAGTGGCAAATAGCCACAAGACAAGAAATCTGAAGGGGAAACAGATATTACGCTGGATAAGCAATACCTAAGCTTCAAGGCAAGTTGCCTTCACCTTGAGCATCTACAAGTTCACAATTCCCTGAATGACACCTGACCATCTGTAGGTGGGAGAACACAGGCGCCAGATGGCAAATCCTGATCTTTGAACTTTTATGTAAGGTGTTATTCAGTGCTTCCATCCTGGTAAATTTTCTGGAGCTTGGAGTGTTTGAGGTGAACTTTGAGAGCTCTGGACTTGCCTAAGAGTGGGTCGTTAAATGTGTGGCAGGAGAGTAGAAAGTTCAAGCAGAGCCTCTGAGGGTTGAACAGCAAGTGAGCACTTAGGAAATGCCGGCTGAACTGGATGCAAGGATTTCTGAGTGGTGCTCCCCAGTTGTACAATAATTGGATTTTAGGAAAAATGGACTCCATGGTAATTCACTTGAAAGAATGAAGTATTTACCAAGACACATGAAACGAGCCTGATTTAATCTTGAGAATTAAATAACGTCTCATGCTAAGGAATTTCTTGTGTGGCTAGTGTTTTTATATAGATTTAATTTCTGGTTAAAACAATAATTTTATTAGAAGGTGGTTTCCAAAAAAAAATAAAATCGCAAGATTTTTAGTAAGACCATTAACGGAAACTTAACTTGTTAGTAACTAAGCATAACCTATGCTTTTCTATTGTTAAAATTATTTAATTGGCACCTGCAATTAAAAACCCGTTAGAAGTACCAGCCATTTTGACTTAAAGGAAAACCAAGTGGGAGCACTGAGTTAATAATATGATGGTTGGAATAGTAGTGCAAACCTGATGTTCACACAAACTTTTTTTCCTCTCAAGTATGGCGGTTGGAAGCATCTCTGGCCATGCTCGGGTCCACCCAGATCTCTGTGTCATTTGGGTGGATGCTCACGCTGATATCAACACTCCACTGACAACCACAAGTGGGAACTTGCACGGACAACCTGTGTCTTTCCTCCTGAAGGAACTAAAAGGAAAGGTAAGGGGCTTGTTGGTATTCTATTAGAAAGAAACCATCTTCTCTTTAGCAGAAGTTCAGGAGATAGAACGGAAGGAAGAACCTGGTGCCATCTTGTTTTTGGTGTAATCTCAAACTATTTTCTCAGCACCAATAAGCTAAGGGTTGATACATAAAGGAAGTGAGGGTCTGTGCTTCTACCTTACATGACAGTTTGCAAACTGACTTTACATATGTCTTCCCTTTTGATTCTTAAACTACCCTTTTTAGTACATGAGGCAGAGAGTAATCCTTTCTAAGCAAGTTAGCATAGGTTCAGAGGTTAACTGACTTGCTCAAAATTACATGCCAAGCACATAGCGAGGGAAGGGCCAGAACTGGTCTATAAACTACCTCTTTCTACATGTCCCACATGGCCTCTCCTGTTTCCCAAGCATCCCCTCCACATCATGGGAACTTTTTCAAAAATGGAGTTTTAAAATGTGGATTATAATGGTTTATTATTTTACATCTTTACTGTGTAAAGTTCATATCTACATCATAAGAAGAACTAACTCCTTGCTCCATTCTAAAAAGATGTGAGATGACATTCCAGATTAAGATTTAACATTGTGGTTCATATTCACTGACATTCTGTAGCATATCGATAAAATGATATTAAATCACTCTCCATATCCAAATCCGTATTTTACCGTTTTCATATACAGCTGTAGAATCTTGGTCTTTATGATGATACCTGGATATCCAAACCCCCTTGTTAAGGGCTCGGAAGTAACACTTTCTGAACTGATGACCAAGTGCTAGGTTTATAAACTTCCAAAGTGTGTAGTTAGCACATGGGAATAGCCACCCTTGGCTCCAGGACATTTGGAGAGTAACAGAAGGGCTGCTTGAAAATCTCCCTCACTCTAAACCATCCTTGGGATTAAGTCCTCACTGCCAAGAGGAATAAAAAAGGAAGCCAAAAGAGTCATGAGAGCACACTGATCTCTTTATAGCAGAGTTTTGGGAAAGCAAGGTACTCTCCCATTCCCAGGGGAATGGGGTACAGAGCAGGTAAATGCTGACAAGTGATTCAGGTCAGGTCTGGGCTACAGGGTGAAGGTGAGTAAGGCAAAGTCATCTAGAGTAGCACAAGGAAAGGCAGGCATTCTCTTCTGAATTTTCTTGGAAACTTACAATCTAAATATAAGATATATGCAATCCAGTAAAGGCCCTTCACTTTCAATGTAAGATTTGCTCAAGAATCATATATTCTAATCAAATGAAAACATTGTAATTTTAGATCCCTGATGTACCAGGATTCTCCTGGGTGACTCCCTGCATATCTGCCAAAGATATTGTGTATATTGGCCTAAGAGACGTGGACCCTGGGGAACAGTAAGTTTATTCCTTGGTGTGAATTACCTTCATTTTCTCTCTTTTGCATGTTAGGCAACCTGGCCAAGCCTATGAGAAAAAAATTATTTTAAGCACCAAGTATATATATCAATACCTACATACCCATATAAATATTTGTCTATAAATCAGGTGATTTTTATACTAATTGCCTTGCTGTTAAAACACATTGATATAGGGACACCTGGGTGGCTCAGTTGGTTAAGCATCTGCCTGCTGCTCAGGTCATGATCCGGGGATCCTGGGATCAAGACCCACGTCAGGCTTCCTGCTCAGTGGGAAGCCTGCTTCTCCCTCTGCCTGATGCTCCCCCTGCTTGTGCTTGTGCTCTCTGACAAATAAATAAATAAAATATTTAAAAAATACGTTGATATATACATATAGTTCATAGGATTTATTTTATGTATCTTACCACAATCATCTTTTCTTTAAAATGAAACAAGAGAGCATAGAGTTAGACTCTTTATTAACTGTAGGATTATCTTAATATCTCCTCTTTCCTAGCTACATTTTGAAAACTTTGGGTATTAAATATTTTTCAATGACCGAAGTGGATAAACTGGGAATTGGCAAGGTGATGGAAGAAACACTCAGCTATCTACTAGGAAGGTATGATGCTTGTGTGTGTGTAATGTAAATATTATTAAAAGGACTTACTACTGATGTTAATGTAAATTATTAATAAAGCCTTCATGTAAAATTATGGAACTTCACTGGATTGTTACTTTTTATAAAGCAAGGCAAGAACTATATTTATGTGCTATGTATTAAACCACCAACTTTAATCTGAATTTCTTTCCCACCTTTTAAAAGAAAAAAAAGGCCAATTCATCTGAGCTTTGATGTTGATGGATTGGACCCATCTGTCACACCAGCTACGGGCACACCAGTTGTCGGAGGTCTGTCTTACAGAGAAGGTCTCTACATTACAGAAGAAATTTACAAAACAGGTATATATTTATACCCTCCGATCTGAAAATCAAGCCCCATTGGATGCTTCCAGAATGCCTATCACATGATGCAATCACCACCTGTTTACACTCCTGGAGTGTACAGAGTACTGAGTGTACAGAGTACGGAGTTTAAAATGTCAATTATTTAACAAATTATATTATTTTCCATTTTTGTTGCAGGGCTACTCTCAGGATTAGATATTATGGAAGTGAACCCATCTCTGGGGAAGACACCAGAAGAAGTAACTCGAACAGTGAACACAGCAATAGCAATAACCTTGGCTTGCTTTGGAGTTGCGCGGGAGGGTAATCATAAGCCTGTTGACTACATTAACCCACCTAAGTAAATGTGGAGACACCATGTAAAAATCTCACAGTTAATGTCATAATTAGCCAATCTAATAATTTACTTAAGCTTACGGTTATCCTCCCCAAAATTTGGTCTTTCTGAAAAATGTTCTGCCTTGGTAAATACTGGTATAATTAGTATGAACTATCAATTCCCTCTTGGTGTGAACTTTAAGATTTGGAAATTCTAAGTTTTGTATAATTAAAGACACACACAGAGGCAGACTCCTGATATCAGGAGATAAAACTATCCCACCTGAAAAGGGACCATAATCCCATGCTGTTCAAAAGATGTGATTTTTATAATAAAATCTTTATAATAAGGTTCTATTATGTTTATATGTTTCTAAACATATAGATTTACTAAGGATTTAAAAAGCCCTCAGTGAAATCATCATCCCCAAAACACTGTAAAACTGGTGAGACAAAACTCTGCCTCCTGGTTTCTTTATCTCTAAAACAGGTAACGGTAAGGCCTTGTGAATCTTCAAGTTCATTAATGTTAGATGCCCATGTTTTACTTTTTCTAAACCTCAGACATGATATTGGCTTACATTTGAAGCAAGGTTGCTATTCAGGTAGCCTTTCTGGAGGTAGAAAAGAAATCAAACTGCTATTTGCGTCTAAGACCTTCTAATTCAGACAGGAATTTCACCTAAAATAATCTTTGGCTTCCAAACACTTCCCTCTCCACCCTTTCACTCATTGCAATTAGTGTCTCATTGGCTGCAATCCTTAAACAACCCCAAAACTCATCTCAGCTCTGGAATATAGTAAGGGAAATGGAATAAAATGAATAAAGGGTAAACTACAGTTGACCCTTGAACATGGATTTGAACTGCATGGGTCCACTTACACACGGACTTTTTTTTTTAATACAGCACAGCAATGTAAATGTATTTTCTCTTATGATTTTAATAACATTTTTCCTCTAGCTTTATTATAAGAATACGGTATATAAGACATATTATATATGTATGTTATCAACAAAGTATGTTAATTGGCAGCTAATGTTATCAGTAAGGCTTTTGATCAAAAACAGGCTATCAGTAGTTAAGGTTTTGGGGAGTCAAATGTTATAAATTTTCGACTGTGTGTGGGGGTCAGCACCCCTAACCCCTGCATTGTTCAAGGGTCAGCTATATAATCAAAGTCAGGGAAACAAACTCTTCCCCTTTGCCCCAGCTTATACAGAACTCCAGCAGACTCTGTAAAGAAGCCGGTCCCATGAAAGGATCTTTATTGCTGTAATGGCTATGTGTTAAAGAGCCTCTATCATCTGATGTTTCACATGCAACCCAGAATCTTACACCCAAGTGTTGACACTATAAACTCAGTAAGATGTATCTTACTGAATTACTTTTAGGTAAGAGCAATTATGATGGAACTTAAAGTATAATGTTCAGTAATGTAGGCACATGGGGTTATTTAAATTAATTAAAGCTTAATAAAATTAAAAATTCAGTTCCACATTTCAAGTATTCAGTAGGCACATGTAGCTTCCGACTCTGTACTAGACAGCACAGACACAGAATATTTCCACCACTGCAGAAAATCCTGTTGGACAGAGCCACTCTGAAAATGACTACTAATTTTCAGAAAGAAAAACTTTTAGGATGCAATGAATATAAAGGCATTGTTTTCCCCTCAGGTGCATTCTAAAACCAAATAAATCTATCTTCTAATGTCTGATTAACAATTCTTTTAAAAGCCTATTTTGGAAAAATCATATTCCTATATTTTTAGTAAGAGAGGAAAAAAGGGAACTTTTAATAAATTAACTGGAATGTATTTGTCCTTGAGAAAAATGGTACTGATTTTCACTTCCTTTATTCTGCTTGTATAATACCAGTGTCACAATTATTCCTATTCTATGATCTCAACGCAATACATTCTTCAAGGCAGCAAGAATATATTGAAACTATGTTAAAAGTAATACCTGAATTCATTTCTAGCATTAAACTTCTGGAGAATTTTAAGAATATCATTAACACAGAAAAATTACTTATACCATTATAGAAATTTTAAGCTGGACTTGCATGGCAAATAAAGATTTAATGATCAGAATAATATGAACCACAAGGAAGGCAAAGGTCTAAGAGGGATGTATTTGGAAATAAAGATTTGAAGTATAGTTCAAACTTCTCTGATTCTTTAAAAAACAAAACAGTAACTCTTAAGTCCCAAGCCAATGTCAGTCACCAACTGTAGTGTACATCCCATAACAGCCTGGTTCTCTGCAGTCAGCATACTGCCTGGAACACAGCAGACACTCACTCAGATTGAGCAAGTCATCAGTTTATTCATTCAACAGATTTACTTGCTTTTCAAGGCTTTTACAATCTTAATGCCATTTCCCCCCTCCCCAAATTAACAGTTTGTCTCTCAAAATCTAATAAACCTTAAAGAACCAAAATGTATGCTATATTTAAAAATATAAATACTTAAAAATTTTAAGATTATAAAAATTTAAAGAATCGCATCATTGGTTAGGTGAAAGTGTCAACCTGGAAAAGCAAATAATTTATTTTTAAAAACAGAGATTGGAGAGCACCATTTAAGCACGATTTTATTAAGTTTATGCATTTCTATGGTATTTTCTTACAAGGCTTCCAACTCATTTCATACAATAAGTTTAAGGCAAAAACTTGCCAATCTGCCTTGATAGAAACATTAACCCATTTCTTTGGAAACCTATGGTAAAATTTTTAAGTCATTTTTAAAAGAATATGAAACTGTGCTCCTGCAATGCAATGAAATCTAGAGTCCTTCGCTTGACAAAAATCTCTTATCCCAAAGATACACCAAGAGATTTATGTATAAAATGATCAGATAACTATTTTACATGTGTGGTGCCTTTAAAACAATGTATTTGAAGACTGAAGTCATTAACAATAAAAATTGAAAATAAAACCAGTGGCTAGAATAGTAAAGATTGGAAGTATCTACAAAAGTCATTTGATCATAGATACCTCCATATTCCTAGGTAGATCTAATAAATTGTTATGGATATGAGCAACATGCAGCTTACTTGATCTCTTAGAGACAAAAATATAGATAGGGAGATGGGAGCTATAAAGTATCAATAGATTCATCATTAGAATCAAAATAAAACAATCTGAACACCACTGCTTCTACTACACCACTATGTAGCACGACCATGTTCAGATTTAACAGGTTTGAGTCCACTTTCAAAGACAAATGTGTTTCCATTTTCACCACCACACACCCAGACTTCACTGAGTTACTGGTCAAGACCCTGGCACCTGATTCGCCTGAGGTGCCGGAGACCCACTACTCATGGCCTGTGGAGGCACGGCAGCTGGTTCCATCTTGCTAATGTGTGTGATGAATCGAAGACGGAGTTTTAAAGCTGGTTTTAAGTTACAGATAATCTTCTCTACCTAAGAAATAAACACATCAAAAAATATTTCAACCAGAGAACTTCAATTTCCCACCTTTAAAGAAGTGCTTTATTTATATCTGGAGATAATAAACTAGGTAGTGGAATAGGCTAGATGAGAAGTTTCTTTCAGTGTTTTATGTTTTAACAAAAGCAAATACAATTATTTCTCTCTCACATGAGTAAAAAAATGTGTTCTCCCTCACACACATTATATGTGTGCATATAATCTATATATGTCCACATTTACAAAAACATACTCACTTACCTAGTTAGCCAGTCATCCCACTGTCAAATGCTAATATAGTTTACACTGGAAATTTTATGTATCCAACCAGTTCATCATCCTTTTCTTTTTCTTTCTTTAATATATATTTTTTAAGATTTAATTATTTGAAAGAGAGAGAGAGAAAGAACAAGTGGGAGGGGTAGATGGAGAGGGAAAGAATCTGAAGCAGATTCCACGCTGAGCATGCAGCCAGTCTCAGGGCTCCATCTCACGACCCCAAGATCACAACCTGAGCTGAAACCAAGAGTTGGACACTTAACTGAATGCACCACCCAGGGACCCAGTTCACCATCCTTTAAAATGCTATCATCACAGAAAAATGAATCATGATTATATTTTGAAGTTCTTTGAATAACTTAGGTCTGTAACATTTATCTACAAAGCTCATTTTTTGGTTTTGATTTATACTTGGAATTCAAACAAAATAATATTAGATCTACTTTTACTTAAAATACTTTAAAGAAATAAAACAGCAAGCAGTTCCATGGCTTTCTTAGCTTTATTCAAATGCTCTTTGACCTTACCAGGAAAGAGCAGCTCAATAATTTTTCCTTTCTGTATTCCCTTGTGTCAAAGTTTCTCAAGCCCAAATACAAAGGATATGCTAAATCAAACATTTCTGTACTAGTTTTCACTCAGAGAACTCTTGACAATCCTGCTGAGGAAATAAAGAAACGAACATCCTCCCCACTCCACGTCCCTAGCTCCAAGGAAAGAATCCAGTAGACTAGGGTTCGTAAGTTTATACATGAGTTTACCTTCCTTTCCTGCCAGAGAAATAAATAACATTAAGGTATGGAGGGGAAGTCACCTCATCTATCTGCCCTACCTCCACCCTTCTAAAAGAGCCAACCTTCTTTCTGTTTCCCACAGATAGGACACAGTCACGATTCAAGTTATGATGCCCTTTCCACTTACAGACGACTTTACCAGAAAGTGGCTCTTTATATGCTGAGTCAGAATGTGCTTCCCTTTAACTTCACTGGGAGTTTATATGCCTTTTGAAGTTGCACAGAACAAATCTAATGCCAGTTCCAAATGGCAACCCTCCAAATAGTGAGAACATGTACAATACCCTGGGACTTTGAAAATTCAAGTTAAGTACCTCCAGTTCCTTCAAATACCCTTTATGAATTATTGTTTTGATCCCCCTGGCTTCCATCTTCTAGTTATGCTGCAATCTGTCCAATGTCTCCATGGTGTACCCTAGTCACTGTGGGGAAAAGTGGGATCTTCTTCACTCATTACAAGGCACCTCTCTGGTCTTAAAAAACGTAGCCATTCTGTACTGTTTCTTCCTAATGAGATTACTGTTAATCAA